TATCAAATGGTACATCTGTTTCTCTATTAAAGTGTTTCGGTGGTGCTGGAGATTGAACCCAGTGCCTTGTGCATGCTAGACAAGCATTTTACCACTGAGCCACATCCCCAGTCCTTATTATAAGTGCTTTTTATGTTTAGCATGTGCTTTTGATTATTGACTAAATTTCCCATTTCTATGCTTATGGTACCCATCTGTTCTTCCATGTTGTCTGTTTTCTTCCTGTAAAGTCCTTACCACATTTTTCATGTTCAAATTCCTTGTTTGATCATACCATCATCTCTCTAATATGAGTTCTGGTTCTTTTCCATTGTATTTTCTTGTCTTTTAGCATACCTTATGATGTTTTGTTAAAAGGTGGAATGAACATACATTTGGGAGTAGGAACTAAGGTAAATAGACCTTCAGTGTAAACCTTATGTTAATCTGCCTAATATTGGGTTTTGTTTAATGTTTGCTATAGCCATAGATGCCAGGGGCTTCAAAATCCTCTGATGCTTATTTTGTTTATTTGGTTTTTGTCTCTGCTGGATGTTTAGGTTCCTTTAAGAACTCAGTAGTCTGCTTTTGCAAAATTTTCAGCTGTAATCCACTACAGTTGTAGTGGAGTCCTGTAGATAGGGTGGAAGGGAACTCTTCTGTGATCTTATGATTATATTTTATCCTTTCAATAGGATTGTGTTCCTGAGCTATGTCCTTCACAAGGACTTCTTTGCCTTTTCCTCCTGTTATGAGAGAGAGGAATGCTATGGGTCTGTTAGGGGGAGGGATTTGGAGATGCCCTATCCTCAGGTTAAATAGGCTTTGGCAAAGCCTTATTTTTTTGTTGAAATGCAGGCAGTTGTTATGGAGCATGCTCTGCGTGTGTTTCAAAATGGTTATCTTTGCCCTTTTAATAGCAGAGGCATATGATGTTCTATTATTTTCTGTTACAATCTGGTGTACTTCTATGAAAGAAGAGCACCTTTCCTGAGACGGCAGCCCCCAAATGATCCTAGCTCTCATTGTCATCTCCACATCGATTCCAGCAACTCAATCCCAGTGACTCTAAAGGCTGAGGCAGGAGGATTGCAATTCTGAGGCAAGCTTCAGCAATTTAGTGAGACCCTGTGTCGGAAAGAGTTGAAAATGTAGTTCAAGCAATCCTACCAATTTAGACTCTGAGTATCTGTAGCCTGAGTGTCTCAGTGGTGGCTTACCCTACAACTCAAGTATCTGATGCATACCAGAATGGTCATTGGTTTTCAGCTCTTTTTGTAGTTGTTTTCTTCTGGTATTATTGTTAGGACAGGAACGATGACTTTCAGTTATTGTCAGAAATAAAATTGAAAGCTATCTCTAAATTCATTTTTGAACCAATATGTATGAAATGTCAACTTGGAGGATTGCCAGCTTATTATATCTTTAATAGTCCCATATATCTCAATCAACCCTGGATGGGAATGCCAGCGGTAGCCTGATTCTCAGGTTAAATGCAGTTACCAAAAAAAAAAAAAAAAAAAAAAAAAAAAAAGAAATATTGTTCCAACATTTTTTTCTGAATTTTGTAAGTAAAAAGAAATTATGTGATATAACAATACAAACAATCTAAAGGGAATTTTAGAAAATACTTATCAATAAGCAAAAAAAGTAAGAGGCTGTTTCTATTCATGACTTTTACGTGGGATTTGGATAAAGCCTTCCCTCTCAGGACACTTAACTAAGGACCTAAAAACCGAATTGGACTTTTTGATATGGGTTACAGACATTGATTTAACAACTTCTCTAGAAAAGCCTGATGTTACCACAGGATCTCCCTCTGCAGTAGCTGAGCAGACTTCCTTTTCTCAGTGTATCCTTTCTCTACTATTTTCCTCTATCATGTAACTCTTTTTGTGGCTGAACCACCAAGGCATTTGAATTTTTCATCTAAACAGATTTATTAGAAGTTGGGGGAAAAGTGAGAAAACTCTAATATGTCTTTTATAGAGTTTGGAAATCCGAAATTCAGTATGTTGTTTACACTTCAGCAAACACATCTGACTGTTTCCATGGATCATTTGTAACACACAACCTTAATTAGCAACAAAGCACATATAGAGGTATTATTGAATTTTTGTTATTTGGGATTACTGAAAACAATCACCTTTTGCAATCTCCATATCTTCTTTTCATTTCATATGACTTTATTCTGTTTTAGAAAAGCCTGGCCAGTTTCTACAGGTCCATTTTGTAGCATTCAGATTCTAGTTTAAGATGTAGTCATTACTGCCACTATGTGGCTTATTTTGAAAGTACTTAAAAATGAAACTTATACTTAACAGCTTTGAACTTAAAAACAATAAACTTGACATTTTTCTCAAGTCAGCAGAAATATTAGCTATATACAGTCATGTGTTCCTCAATGATAGGGATATGTTATGAGGAATGCATCATAATGTAAATATTCTTGAGCATAATTACATGAACTAGTTGGTGTAGGTCAATCACTTGACATGGTGTTTTGATATAATCAAGAGATGTGGTAAACACAAGACTTATGAGGCTGCTGCAGCCATACAGTTTTACAGTATACTTGTACATTTGTATATGTATATAGATTATATTCCAAAATAATGACTAGTTTATATATTTGCTATACCATACTTCTTAGTCAGTCATTATCAGAATAGATGTTTAAAATTTTAAAACACATTGTTGATTTGTTTCCGTAGAATTTACCATCAATTCTACCTTTCCCAGATATTGTTTTTGTTGTTCTTTTGTGTGTTTTATTTTTTTATTTTTTTGGCACTGGTGGTTTAACCCAGGGTACTCTAAAACAGAGAGAGGGCTGGGGATGTGGTAGTTTGAGAAAGGGTCTCCCTAAGTTGCCGGGATTACAGTTGTGCACTTTATTCTTAAAATTTAACTTTCTCTACCGTCATACTATACAGAGTGCAGTTACATACCTTCCTAAATGTACATCATGCATATATTTGTGAAATTCTTGTTCATGTTTTTGTAGTTGCCTTTCTTGTTTTTTAGTTGATTTCTGTGCAGCCTTCAAATTGTAATACTGACATGAATACCAATCTTTTTACCAGGTTTTACATTTTAAGTTGATAATGATCATTTATTCTACTTAATAAAATTTAACATGTTTTCTTTAGGGTTTCAAGGTGTTTTACCCTGGTAAGAACTGTCTTTTTCCCTTAAGGTTATGAATAAATGTATCCACATAGTTTGAAACTACTTTTATGCCCATTGCCATGTGGATTCTTTTAGTTTATTAAATCTTTTTAGTGCATTTAATCTTGATGTAGTCAAAGTATCAAAAGCTTAATGTTCTCTGATTTGGAGGACTAGCTGAGAAAGTCTTTCATAATGGAAGTCTTTAGCCCAACACCCAATTTTTTGTTTCTAGGATTTCCATCATTATTTTATTTCCATGTATCTCCTTCAGGTGTAAACATTTACTTTCATGGATAACCATTATGACAGCATGTTTATGCTTTAACTCTATTCAGATGCTTCCCGTGCTTCTGTAATAAGGAGTGAAGGTGCTCAACATGTCTGAGTGTATCTCAGGCTCTTCATGTGACACTATTAATTTCACTTTGTATTTTTGAAACTGCTTAGACAAAAATTTATAAATATCTTATGCTAGACATTTCCTTCTATTAATGTGAAATATCCATCTTTGTCTCTTTTAGAACAAAGTTGGCATGGAATTATATCTTATTTGTTATTATTACTTTATAAGTTGTCTTTTCTATAATATGGGGGGGTGTCATCACTCATCCTATTTGTCATTGTCCTCTATTGCTTTCACATAGATGACCGAATTTATCAGTGTGTGAATATCTTAATACTCAAATCTAACTCCCCTGTTATTGTCATCATGGAAATCATGATGCATATTTATCATTTTTATTTCCATTTTACCATTCTCTGTCATTTACCCTCCTTATTAGTTTTATTATTATTTCTCTTTTATTCTCTTTATTATTTCTCTTATTCTGGTAATATTACTGAATATGTGTACATATGTATTTTATATGTGCATAAAATTAGTCAGCATTTCCATTTTATCCTAAGTCTGTTCTCAACTATAGCCAGGAGTTGTTTTTTTTATCTCATGAGGACACATATGATACAAGTAGTGGCTGCCTGGAGTGTCATGTTTACATAGAATCTAAGATCATGTATGATTAAGACCTAGAAAGAATGAAGTAACCAGAAGAAAAATTAATTCAAGAGCACAGAGGTACATTTGATTATAAACTCATTGTATGATTTTCCTTTCTGAAACTTGTTTCTTATGGTTCAGAGATAATATTCCCAGAAAACAACTTAAAGTTTATATCTCGTGAGGTACAGGAGTCTAGGACTAAAAGAGTGAAATTCTCAAAGTAATTATCTGGCAACAGGGTGAAGGAGATCAGTGGAGTGAGTGTGTGTGTGTGTGTGTGTGTGTGTGTGTGTGTGTGTGTGTGTGTATATATGAATAAAT